GTCAATGAAACCCTCGCTGATTGGTTGTACGCTAAGCGACAGCGACAAAAGTTGAACTTTTTTTTTTTCACATGCACTATTTTCGCCGGTCACTTAGCTGGAGGAGGGGAAGCGATTGTCGCCTCACCGCACAGGCTCCATAGGAAATGAATGGAGAGTGAGCGACGTCGCCTCCCGTGTGTCGAGCCCTTTAAGAGTTCAATGAATTTCAATGGGAAATTTTATTTGAAATAAAGTCACATTTTGAAAAGTTTAAAAGCCCTGACACATCATTACCAATCAAGCTGATTTTTTAAAAAATTATCAATATTTTACACAGAGCAAAATATGCAGCAGTATTTTGACTGTACAGGAAAAGCTATAAACAGAAGAATATTGTGAATGCCGACTCAGCATATCCCCAATCAGTCAGCCACAATTTTATCTTAACACAGAAACCTTGAGCAACTTCCATTTTCTGRGTAGTCCTCTCAGCGAGCTGAGTTTTACCAGAGTCAAAACAAACAAAAACTGAGCAAGTGTGGAAAAACTGCTGCTGTGAGCTGCTGGGACTTTTTGATAAACTGCCTGTGTAAAAACACAGAGTGATTTCAGCCAACTCTCYCCTCTTCTTCTTGAGTCGTTTACACTGTCGAATGAGGTGTAAATTATTTATAAGCCCTCTTGCTCGGATCCAGAAGGGTCAACTTAATCCCCCTCCCAGCAAACTTCAGTCAGCAGTATGTCAGGTAAGGAATGGGAACCGAGCAGTGGAAATCAAATCTGACCCTGGACTTTACTCAGCATTGTGCTCTCCAAGTGCTACATTCGCCTAAAGGGACTCATTAACATGTCTGAAGTGTTCAAGAGCTTTGTCACTCAAGAGTGTTTAATACCGTGTTAATCTGGACTGAATTACATRGCTGAGAGCTACTTAAAGCTCAAACCAGTTTCAAACACTGAAGACAAATAGAAACATGCTTTTAATCCATCCATCTTTATCAACAAGTACGTTGATTTATTCCTATTTGGGCAGCTGTGGCGGAGTGGTTAAAGGAGACGTCCTGTAACCGGTGGGTTGCCGGTTCAATTTCTCATTCCAWCCATCCCAGTTGCTGTYTCTGAGCAAGACACTTGACCTGCCTTGCCTTCTGATGGTGGTCTGAGGGTCCTTTGGCATCTTTGCATGGCAACCCCACCTCTTTCACCCCTAATTTACACTACATGCGTTCTGGCTCTGCTCCGGTCCGACCTCCGCAGCAAATACACACCCATTATAATCAATGAGAGTATTTACACTGGCTGCGGACAGTGATCCAGCAAAATTAGAACAGATCATATCTTTGCCGGACGGCAGAGCTGCGCTAGAGTCAATTTTTAAAGATTACATCGCACCAACAGGAAAAGAAACGAGCACAACATCCGTGTTTTCAAAATAAGGCACTTCTAAGCGGGATAATTTTTCAGAATAATGTCGAAATTGCATATATTAATCAATATACGGATATATTTCTACACAAATGCTGTCAGAATGTATCGTTCTGTTTGGGAAGCAGATGGAAACATGTAGCATGAAGCATATGTGTACACACACGATACACGTGGATTTTATTTTGAAATCAGAAGTTTCAAAAAGCCGACAGCGAGATAGTTTCAACATAGATAACAAAACCTTTACAGTATATCCTTGTTTTAATCTGTGTTTGGAGTTCATCTTTCACAGAATTAATTGTTTGTTGCTGTGACTTCCACAGTTATCACTGGATTTATCAAGCGATCTGCTTCCTGCATGTCTGTCAGTCCGGAGTGGAGCGGAGGTAGTGAAAACTGGACTTGAAATGCAAGGATGCGACCTGCGCAGCGGAGCGTAGACGCATGTAGTATAAATCCGGGGTAAGGATATAAAA